GTGGATGTCTGGATGGCGTCTGATTCAAACTTTTCCATGAACATGTTGGCTATAACTGGTGACAAGGGGGAGCCCATAGAGGTACCCTCATTCTGTTTGTAGAAGGTGCCATTCCAGGTAAAATAGGTGTTGGTGAGGCAATGCCTAACCAGCGCAGGTACATCAGAATTCAATCCATGTTGGACTAAGTCCTCAATTATTGTTAGGGTGTCCGGTACTGGGACTTTGGTAAACAAAGATACTACATCAAAGCTGACGAGGATGTCATCAGGAGATAGTACCATGTCCTTAACCATAGAGACTAATTGGGTTGAGTTGAGTACTGCCGAAGAGGTCTTGCCTGTGAAGGGGAGCAGAGTATCTGATAGAAAACGGGCTAGTTTGTACGTAGGAGAGTTTATCGTCGACACGATGGGTCGTAGCGGGGTGCCTTCCTTATGGATTTTGGGAAGACCATAGAGTCTGGGAGGTCTAGCCGCCGATGGTTTTAGAGAGGGACGTTTGCTTGGTTCGATTAGGGAAGTCGAACTCGTGATGATACTGTTGGTTTTCGTCGTTAGGCTTTTAGTAGGATCGTTTTTAATTTTGGAGTAACTCCCATCATTAAGAAGGTCCAGGATTTTGTTGTTGTATGAATCTTTATCCATGATGACCGTGGCATTGCCTTTGTCTGCCGAGAGGATGACTATATCATCTCTCTTTTTTAGGTCCGCGAGTTCAGAGCGTTCGTTTTTGCTGATGTTACTAGTGGGTTTCTTAGCATTCTTAAGAATAGTAGCTATTTCAGCTCTTGCTACATCCGCATGGATGTGTCCTATGCCTCTGAGGGCTACATCAATCTGAGAAATCATATCTTCTACTGGTATATATTTAGGGGTGACGGCGAAATTTAGTCCTTTGGACAGTACCGTTTTTAGATTGTCAGAAATTGGGATGTTACTCTGATTAATCACGGTCTTGTTAACATCCAGCTTTGCGATGTGTGGCTCTGGTTTTTTCTTAGATAGGAGGTTGAATTTAGAAATCAGGTTAGCTTCGCATTTGGCTGACATTGAGTCAGCAGAAGCAGAAGTCATGTTATCAACGTGGTTCCAGTCCGAAGGTGACATTTTTGTGTTAACACAAAAAAAAAATCCTGGACCTTTTTAATGATGGGAGTTACTCCAAAATTAAAAACGATCCTACTAAAAGCCTAACGACGAAAACTAACAGTATCATCACGAGTTCGACTTCCCTAATCGAACCAAGCAAACGTCCCTCTCTAAAACCATCGGCGGCTAGACCTCCCAGACTCTATGGTCTTCCCAAAATCCATAAGGAAGGCACCCCGCTACGACCCATCGTGTCGACGATAAACTCTCCTACGTACAAACTAGCCCGTTTTCTATCAGATACTCTGCTCCCCTTCACAGGCAAGACCTCTTCGGCAGTACTCAACTCAACCCAATTAGTCTCTATGGTTAAGGACATGGTACTATCTCCTGATGACATCCTCGTCAGCTTTGATGTAGTATCTTTGTTTACCAAAGTCCCAGTACCGGACACCCTAACAATAATTGAGGACTTAGTCCAACATGGATTGAATTCTGATGTACCTGCGCTGGTTAGGCATTGCCTCACCAACACCTATTTTACCTGGAATGGCACCTTCTACAAACAGAATGAGGGTACCCCTATGGGCTCCCCCTTGTCACCAGTTATAGCCAACATGTTCATGGAAAAGTTTGAATCAGACGCCATCCAGACATCCACCCTGCGTCCTTCCTTTTGGAAGAGGTATGTGGATGACACTTTCGTCATCTGGCCACATGGCCTCCCAGCACTGAACCACTTCTTGGACCACATCAATTCTAGACACCCGTCCATCAGATTCACCATGGAAGTGGAGAAAGACGGTAAACTACCATTCTTGGATATTCTGTTTGAGAAGAGGCCTGACGGATCCTTGGGACATTCTGTCTACAGGAAAGCCACCCACACAGATTCCTACTTGAAACCGGATTCCCACCACCACCCATCTCAAAAGAATTCGCTCATCAAAACGCTATACCACAGAGCCCATGGTATTTCTGACCAACACCACCTGACCGGTGAATTAAGACATGTACATCGGGCCCTCAGGATGAACGGATACTCTGACCGTACTATCCGCCAAGCTGTCTCTCCCACCACACAGAAACAGCCACATGAAACTCCGACCAAAACTATCATGTTACCATACATAGCAGGCGTGACCAAAAAGATCTCCAAAATTCTAAACAAACATAAGATCCAAGTCCGATTCAGTACAGTGCATAAAATCCGTGATCTGATTCCATCTGTGAAGAATGTCGTTCCTGACTTACAGTATCCTGGAGTCTACAAATTGAGTTGCATTTGTGGTGATTTCTACATTGGAGAAACAAAACGTCATGTTGCTGATCGTGTCCGCGAGCACAAGTCAGATCTGAAACACGGCAGAACTGATTCTTCGGCCGTTGCCGATCATTGCTACAACTCGGTGGGCTCTCATGAAATTGTCTTTTCCGAGACCAAGGTTCTCTGCAAACCTCCTGGCTACCATCAAAGGTTTGTACACGAAGCCATACAAATATACAAACACAGACATAATTTCAACCGTGATGATGGGTACAAACTTAGTAATCATTGGAAAGATGTTATTAACCACGCAAAAAAGACGTAATTACACTTTTTTGGACCATCTTATCTGACAGGCACTATTTTACTTTACTTTACCGAGTGTTTAACAGTAATCTCTTCATTGTTCAGCCAGCATTGGTATAAACAATGGCATTTCCGTTCTTTTGTTTCATGTATATCAGGCCTCCCCCTCCCCCCTCTCTGTCCAATGCGTTGGCGTGTGCAGCAGTTTGTCTCTTGCGCACAATCGCTTCCACGCCGTCGCCCACCCTTTTGGCCCCGCCCCCCTCCCTCCCGATACGTTCCATTCATTGGCTCCCCCCTCAACTCGCTTTTAAGGGATTACATCTTGAATCATTTCCTCACTTGATGCAGCTAATCTGGCTGTGACGGTCCCACCTGATAACGGAGACTTGTGTTGCCTCCGAAACGTCGTGATCTTTATTTTATTTTATTTTTTTATTAATTTTGATGTTTTACCTATGTGACTTTACCGAAAAAACCTAAGAATATGGATACATTCTTATTATTTGAAATATTTAGCACAAGTCACGTGCTTAAAACTGATCTAATGTGGTCTAGTTAACCTGAAATCCCGTGATCACCTCTACAATATAGTGGTTGCATATCTTTACAACAGTGAGTGGAGTTGGATTGATTTGGATTGGCGTCGCTCTGCTATCCACTTCGTGGAGTTTTCTGTGCTGGAGCAGGAAAGTGCTATCACTGAGCACGTGCATCATCGATCAGTCAATCGTTAGTATTAATTATAAATCGAAAGAGTAATAATCAAAATCGTCAGTTGTGCTTCATTTTTAACGATTTATCCAATCACTTATTATTTCGTGCGTTTTCATTTATAAAACTGTTCATTGATACACACAATTTTCTTAACTTACACGTATTTCATACCTGTGTAATATGAGGATGCGGGCCTCAGCCCGCAGCCAATGGGGTGTATAGCAACATCGAGAAAGTTCCAGGGGTGAGGCTTATGATTGGCTGCGTGGCATCACGTGAGCCAGGTGATATAAGGGGTGGAGAGATACATTTCGTGGTCAGTGTGGAGAGGTTCGAGAAGAGACCACATTCTGCGCTTCTGGCACGCCAGCGGCCACGTGGCAGGCCGGAGGCTGTCTCCCAAATGCCGTTAGCCAGCGGTGTGAGGGAGCGAGGAAAGCGAGCGAACGCCACGCTCGAGTAACGGGAGTAATGGGAAAAAAGAACCCAGCGGTGTGAGAGAACCGTGTAAATGAAGAACGAATAAAGACAAGACAAGAGATACGATAACGTCCGGAGTGGGTTTATTACACCTGCATTAGTGCTTTTTAACATCTAAATACGAGGAAATTATATATTTTTGGATTATTTGCGAATTTGAATTATCTGCAGCAGTCCCCCTCGTCATTAGAGCAGACAATTGAAAGTGGACTGAACATTTGTTTAATCCAATCTTGATTTGAAGCTTTCGTGACTGCAGGAATCCTTACTCTTTGGTTCTTTCGGTAAAGGCACGTAGGTAGAAAAATAATTTATCACAACGTTTCGATCGCAACACAAGCAATCGTCCTCCGGCGAAAAAAATTTCAGCAGTAGAACTGCTGAACCAGGAAAAACACAGCGGGAGAGCTGTTACAACAAGAGGTTATATAGGTTTGAGGTGGATGCAACCCAAGGGCAATCAGGCGGGGTCTGAAATGTAAAGGAGTCCCGTCACCACACGCACACACATCAGCTGTGTTAATGGGAGAGATTAGAGGGAGATTAGCAAGTTAATGTCAGCAGTGTTGTTTAATGTTAACCAGGAGCCATATTTTGACCGTGGCCTGCTGTTTCTTTTTAAGATGTCGCACCAGGAAGCGGTTGACGCGCAGTGTTTCATAGTTATTACAATTGCATAATTGAACCTCATGGTGGGACCACGGGGTGCCGAATAAACGGAAGTAAAAATCGTAATTAATTTATTTTTTGGCGACTCCATCCCACCACGCACATAATCGCCAACTGGCGCGGATCATTCTGTTGTCATGTCGTCCAAGCGCAGCGAGGACGAATGCCGTAGTCATAAACAATACTTTGAAACTTTGATTAGCACATCGTGTAGAGAGCTCGTCGAGAGGAATATATTGCCGTATTGTTTGCCTTCCACAGACATATAATGACGTCATAAAGCAGTTTATTCGAGAGCCGGCGGCTTATGGGACCCTAGGGTCCCGCCATAAGGTTCAATTTACAAAGAGGTGACTGCTGGGCGCAGGTCATGAACCTCTGCAGAAAAAAACATCAAAATCTGCTGACGCTCGGCCAGGTCAGACGCTAGATTGCTCTGCTGTGAGGATGCAAATGGGAAGTGACCATACCTTTATTGACTTGATCGCCCGGCTCGCTGCAAGAAATAAGAAACATAGTGTATTAGAATCATGCACTTGCATTGCTCATTATATAAGGTAGACAATAATCGTATCCAACATTTTTACTAAATGATCATCATTACTCATTGATTTTTTTCTCAAATATGTTACGTTAATATATAATATAAAAACAATTTGTTCATTTAAATAATACATGGTTGTGCAGGTGAATGGATGTAAGAGATGGTGGGGTGTAGCAGTGATTCTTAGTGTGGAGATATGTCGTGGTTTGTGGAGGTGTGTGGTGTGTGAGGGTGTTGGTGGTGTGTTTGAAGTTGGCGGTGTTGTGTGACGTGTTGGTGGTGTATTGGAGATGAGTTGTGGTATGTGAGTTTTTCTGGTGGTGTGTCGAGGGTGATTCTCGAGGTGAGGTTTGTAGACGTGTAGTGGGTAATCAGGGAGAGCGAGACTCACTGGAGGCAACACGTTTATTTATGACCTTAACAGAGTTTACACAAAGGGGTAACGGCCCCTTACACCTGATACACTACGGAGGCATCTCCTCCAGACCATTCTGCCCTCAGACTGGTTAAGCTTCAGCCCTACACTGGTTAAGCTTCAGCCCGACCATAGCCAGGGGTTTAGGTTCTGCCCCCTGGGCTATTGTGCCCGGACACTGGGTACCCGGCCCGACCCTAGCCAGGGGTTCGGGTCCGGTCCTCGGTCTCTTCTTAGGGCGAGTCTTTGGGTCTTCAGATGGCAACTCCAGGTCTTCAAATGTTCTACAGCAGCCGTACCCATTCAGGGGTCCGGCTTTTAACGTCAGCCCCGTCTCTCTCCACCCCCACAACTCCCAATTGGTGATAGGGCAGTTGTGGAGAGAGTGGAGAGTTTCCCATACCTGGGTAAGTGTGCTCATGACCGGTTCTGGTTTGACAGCAGAGGTCTCACTCCAAATCAGTTCAGCGGTATTATTTTCATCAGTTGCGTAACACGGTGTGGAAGCTACCTGGTCTGTCGCTCCCTACAAAGCTTCAGGTCTACTCGGCCAAAGTCACTCCCTCCCTTCTCTATGCTTGCGAAACGTGGACCCCCTAATGTAACATCTTCGCCGGTTAGAAAGATTTAGGCTGGCCTGCCTACGATCCATCCTGGGTTTATTCAGGCTGGATTGTGTGAGGAGCTCACATATCCTTGAAAGATCTGGACAAAGTCCCATCGGTGAGCTCCTCTGGCAGGCAAGGTTGCATTGGCTGGGCCATTTAGCCCACATGCCCAGTCACCGCATGCCTAAACAGCTTTTGTTCGGCTAGTCGAGGGGGCTAAACGGGCACAGTACGGGCTAGAGAAGAGATGGAGTGATGTGGTACAGGAGGATGTGGAGCTGAGTGGACTTGCTGATGACTGGTACCAGCAGTGTCAGGCTCGTGAAGGACGCGGAGTGCCGGGTGGTTAAAGCACAGCAAGTTGGCACAGTAGGGGCCACAGGTGGTGCATCAGCCAGTCATCTCAGTCAGTCGACCTATTTGCACCTGCTGGGTCTGCCCCTTGGCCTCCTGCCAGCGGGCATTTGACTCTTCACATGGCCTCGATTTACACATAGCCTGGCACAAGCGTAATGGTGACGTCACCGCCACTTAGTGGTGAATGCGGTTGTTGTTGTTTGACTTCTTTCGCAACTTTGCCAACTGTGGAAATCAGAAGTGTGTGGTGGATAGTAGCAGTAGTATATGAAAGTGAGTGGTGGTGTGATTATTGGTCATGTGTTGGAGGTGAGTGGTGATGTGTGGAGGTAGCATAGCGGTTAGCGCTTTGCGCTATAAATCCAACGACCAGAGTTCGATTCCTGCTCATGGCCAACACCAGTGATTGTTATTATCTGCACCGGCCCTGGGCCTCTCCTAGGTCGACTCAGCCTTAAATGAGTACCTGGTGCGGTGTGTAAAAATATCGCCACTGGGGAGTCATGGTGCTGGCCACCCTCCCACTCAGGTGTCGTGCTGGCCTGCAAAAGTGCTCGCTTACAGCACTTGCCCCAACAGTCTGTTAAAGGCCATTACGGGGGATCGTTGTATTTTTATTCAGGCATATCCCGGTTTATTCCCAGGATGTGTTCCTGAAAACCAGAAAATAAATCGAAAGTACTTAAACCAAAGCAAAGATATGGGCAAGTGGATCGTAACGTGGTACAGTACCATGACAGAGGATGCTCAGTAACCCATTGCTATGCTATACTGTAAAATCAGTGTGAAAAGTAAGTGCATATTACTGATATGTTAAGGTGTATTACCTCGTCTATTAGATTATGTATTATTAGTTATATATCATTTGAACATAGTTTATTCTTGTAAAACAACAAAAGTTGCTATAAATACGGTATGTGGAGAAAAAAACATTAATAGCGTCCATAATATAAGTATTTCCTTGGTTAGATCACGTTAACGTAAATGTGTCATAAAACCAGAAACCGCCCAACACAGCCAATTAGTAAGATTAGTCACGTAAACAAAAAAATAGCCAATTCGTTACTAGTGTAATAAAAGACTCGGACGCTTCTCTCTGTCCTGTGTCCTTTATTTGGGTTCGATCTCTTTTCCCTCACGGCACTCCCCCTTACTCTTCGCTCTGCAGCCCCAGGCTGCTATCGCTCACGTAGCCCACTTCACAGCACTCCCCTATATACTCTTCGCTCTGCAGCCCCCAGGCTGCTGTCGCTCACGCAGCCCACTCCCTCCTTGCAGACCCGCTGCCGTCTCGTCGTGCAGACCCCCGCTGCTCAACTCCACCCTTGCAGACCCGCTGCTCTCTCTGCAGCCTCCTCGCTGCTCCTCCAGCCCCGGGGTCGGTCACCGCTGGCCGACGGTGCCGATCCTCGAGGTCTGTGTGTGTGGCGATCTCGCCACACTCTCTCTTCCCCACTCTGCCCTGCGTGGCCTTACACTTTCCCCAGTCTCCGATCACCCCTACTGCTTCCGGTTTCTCCCCTTATAACCCTGAACCCTGTCCCCCACGTGACGTAACTCCTCCCCCCATGACGTCACTTCCGGAAGGTCGTTTACGCCCGCATTACACTAGTGTAGAGGAGTAGTGTGATGACATGACGTCATGGGCGCCGTGAGGCGTGATGACGTCATGTCATGAGCGCCGTAGGCAAATATCGAAAAGAATGAGGGCGGGTCTGAGTAAGTGGGAAGAGCCGCCCAAGGAGGTACTTAAGGGGGACCCCGTGACGAAGGCGGGTCGTTGTGGGAGTCCGGGATGTGGATCGGCTGGAAGCAGGTCTCTCCTGCTCGTGACCGGACGGTGTCGGTTAAACCCCCGTCCGGGTGCGACGAGTGGGAGAGCCGAAGGGATAGCCAAGAGTAGGGCTCGAGGAAGTCTGAGAGAGCCGGCTAAGAGTAAGTGGGATTCTGCTCTCCTCAGTCGGGCGGTGTTGGCTGAACTGAAAGACGCAATAATATAGCGACCATTGTTTTGTTAATTCACAGTTAATTAACATGCATAATGTACACGCATGCACATCATGCCTGTACATTTATATGTGTGCGTTACGTATGCGCATTCTGTCGTTTTTTTTGGGGGGTGCAAAAATCACAATAGCTGTTATTGGTGAAGAGTAGAGTACCGTACAACATTGTAGTCGGAAACTTTATGACGCTTTGGCGCCATCTGGCGTATGAATGTTACCATGCAACGTAACAAAAATTTTGGTCTTTTCTGGTAAGGTTTGTAAATATCGAATATGTTATGACGAAATACCACAGTACGTATAAATCGGGGTTTGTGGAGGTGTGGTGGTGAGTGGAGGTGTGTGGAGGTGAGTCCCGGGCCGATCTGGCGAAACAGGCAAAACCGAGCCAAAGGCCATGCTTGATTTAAGTGTCGAATATTATATATACAGTACATTATACACTACATGGAACTGAAAAAACTAAAATACTAAACGTACATACATCACCCCATGCAGATTAGTAAGTACCTGATAGTAAATGCAGCAACTTTTTAAAGTTGGATATTTATTTTTGCCTAACTGTATGTTTAGTTATGCCAATTTCAGATAATAAAGTTTCAACACAAAAATATAAAAACCTAAAAACACGTCATGCAAATCCGGCGCCTCCTTCCCCCTGAAACTACCGGATAATCGATTATCTAACCTATACAGAACGGAACAGCTGTATACGAGAATAGTTTTGAAGCCAGCAAATAAAGTCAGGTGAGCACGCACAGTCACGGTTGCTAGTGAGTGGTGAGAGAGACATTATGCTTGCAGATCAGGGATTGGGGGGAAATCCAACTAGAACTACTATTTTTTTTTTCACCAGGTAAGGCCCCACTGAACTATACTGCCCTTTTTCAGAAGCGACCTGGTTATAACAAAAAATATGAGCCAAGAATGTGTGTCCCGCGTGTGATGTTACTCCACATGAGGCCCACCCCCACGCGTGACGAAACTCCACATAAGGCCCACCCCCATCATTAATATTCATGAGTGGGTGGATTTTTACACTAACGCAGAGGAAGGTCGAGCTGAATTAAATATGTTTTATGCAAAGTCGCTTCAAATATGACGTTTCTTTACAGAAAATGACGGTGAAAAATAAATCTACGCAGCACAGCGCTACATCCGTACGTGACGTCATTGCAAAAGAGCCCCCCCCCCCTTCATTAATATTCATGCCCTCGTGTAAATTTACACTAAGGCACAAGGTCGCGCACTCCACATGCCGCACCCCTCCCCTCATTAATAATCATGAGCGGGTGACGTCATTCCACATGCCGTACCCCTCCACAATAACAATTAACCGGTGACGTCACTCCACATGGGGAAACCCCCCCCCCCCTCATTAATAATCACGAGATGAACAATTTTTCTATTGAATATTTCAGATTTACTACAATGTACACCCGTCCTTGCACGGGCAAAAAGCTAGTCGCAAATAATAGCTCAACGAAGTGGCTTATCACCATGTGGAAATGTATAGCGGCAGCCAAATGCTCTAAATGCATGTTTGTAAATGTAGAGGGAAAAAAAAACGGAGGAACCCAAGAAAAGTCCACACGACCACCACGGGGAGAGAGAGAGACGCAGACTCCAAATATACAGCAGCAGACATCAGGGTCCGGATAGAACCCAAGTCCACTTGTATATCAGGCGAGGGAGTTAACATCTAGCCACCGCGGCACAAATCACTGTACTTGAGGTTGGTAAAAGCTGTGAATATGCACTGTGTGAGCAAAAAAGTGCTGCACAGGTGGCGCAAGACTGATGAGACGCGTATAAGGGGCCGTCCATAAATGACGTCACGCACCTAGGGGGGGGGGGTCAGACATTTGTGTCGATGTGTGACGAGGGGGGGGGGTCAAAAATCGTCCAAATCGCGTGACGTCATTTATAGACGGCCCCTAAGAACTTTGTCCATTGTGAATTTTGAAGTTGTAGGCTATTGTGACTATTATAGTTGACAAAGACAAATAGCCCTCGTATAGCCTGAACAGACTGTTGGGGCAAGTGTTTTAGCAAAGTAGCACCTGTGGCACACAAGTGGGTGGGTGGCCAGCACCATAACCGGTCGCCTTTGTCTCCCTAAGTGGTGATGTTTACCCACCGCACCAGTTAGTCATTTGAGGCTGAGTCGACCTAAATGAGGCCCAGAACCAATTCAGATAATCGCCGTTGGTGGCTGCGAGCAGGAATCATACTCTGGCCACCGGGTTTGTAGAGTAGCGCGCTAACCGCTACACCACACATACACAGCGTAGTCTGTTCACTATTTTGTTTTTGCTACAGTCGAACCACGTGACGTGTCTTTGATACGCAATGAGCAAAATACCCTGTCTTGTAGTGAAATAATTGTTTTAATTGTGGACTTGAAGGAAATTTATAACATTTTGTTATGATACGAAACGACAAAACACTTCCAGGTCACATTTGCAGATTTAACGACGGCTTTCGTGACCAATATTATCAATAATAGAGGTTTTTGGGTTAGATCGTGTAAATATCAATGCGTCGAATGGTAAATGTTGTGAATGCACACTCCAACACACAACCGGTTAGTGCTGAACTCGGAACGAATTAGCTAAGTTGTATTTACGCGACAAACCTTACTGATTGGCCGTGTCCGGTGGTGGCGAGTTTAACGACACATTTATACTTACACGATCTAACCCCAAAACAAACCTCTATTTTAGATAACATTTACAGTATATTAAATTACGACAGTTAATCTCTGACCTCTTAGTCACCACCTTGGTCGTTTTGTCTTCTTTTGGTGTTACAACTCCTGTGGGGGTCACACACAGAAGCCGTGAAAAGCGCATTGACTGATTTTTCAATGTATCTCTGTGCACGTGTGTGCGAGTGGATTCGATAACTCGTAAATATCAAAGACGTTAAAAAATACCTGAGCATCAAGTTGTTTTTCATGCTGTAAGGGTTTTACCATGACGAGATCATTCCACGTATATGTGGTTAATGCACACATGGATCCTTGCGAAAGGTTTCAGTTTAGTGTTTTAACATCTTAACGCCTGTTTTATTGCCAGAAATGGTAAAACATTTTCTTATATTTTCATACTGGCAAGGGAGGTCCAATATGATGTTAATTTGACAATATTGCAAGAACAAATTTGCAATGAAAGAAAATCACGAAAAGTTTATTTTCGGTGTTAATTTCACTTTCACTGAAAGGAAAATAACGATTGATATGACTCTCCCCCTTTGTACATACACTGTTGCCTATCCTGGATATATAAATATATTTATTCAAGAAGATCTTTTGGTTACTTTTTTGTCATACCAAAAAACTTGCTAATTTTATTTTTTGTTGGCCCTTGTAATTTCCGTAGGCCCTGGGCACAGTGGCTACTGTGGCCCATTAGATAATACGGCGCTGATCAGTGCACATTGCAGCAGAACGAGACAGGGGGCATGGAACAATAGGAAAGAGAACAAAAGAAACCCGTCACCACCTCGGTGGCTATGATCGACGGAGCAAACTTTACTCTTTGATTATTTCGGTAAAGTCCTTGCAAAATGTTTCAGTTTGGTGTTTTAACATCTTAACGCCTGTTTTATTGGCAGAAAGGGTAAAACGTATTTTTATTACAAGCTTTTTATTAACTTACTCTGTCTGTTGTTGTCGTTGTATCCTCAAATATTGTAACTCAAATTTTACCCACTTCCCAATGTGTTATCGACTGCAAACTTGGTATACTTATGTCATTCTAATGACTACTATATTCTATCATTAAAAAATATATTAAAAAAAAATGTAATGTTATGTTTCGGCTTGGGTCTAATTGTCCACGGTAAACTGACTTTGGCTGTAAATCACCACGGTCCCTTACGTTATGGGAAGCTTCGGGGCCACTTCCTGAAATCGTGGAGTTCTTGCATTACTAGTACGGTACATTTCATAAAAGCGTGTTTAAAAAAAAAGTTGTTTTAAATATTACTTATTTATATGTCAAATTAAATCTACTTATCTACGGCTTACAGCGTGCTCCCATTGAGTGAGGAACAGACTGAACAATGCACCTGTCAACAGTAACGACATCTGTCCAGCAGCTGGAAGAAGAACCAACGCGTGAAACAAGCTAACAGCGGCGATAGTAGTAACATGGAGCGGAAGAACCAGCTGTAGGAAGTTATTACTGAAGGCCCAACGTAACAGAAGTGCTGAGGGCCTACATAAACCTTAATCCGGACCTGGCGTTGATGTTTACTCTATTGAGAGCGATATTGGCACACACGCAAAATAAAGATTGATTGATTGACTCGATTAAACACTTTGTGTCTTCACGTAAAGTGGTAGTTGGGTATGAGATTGGGATGCATTTAACTCGCCCAATCACTCCCTCGCTTACTCAGCGCACTTATTCACTCACAACACTCACCCACACACTGACCCACACTAACTCACCCACTCATTCACCCACACCACACCACTTGCCCACAAAAACACCCGACTCACTCATTCACCTACACCACACACACACCACTCACTCACCTGTCGTTGTGCTGGCCAGTCGATTCATGAGGAAGGATTTTCCAGTTCTGTATTTTCCAACTATTGCCACCACCACCACCGGTTTGTCTATTTTACCCAGAAGATCAGCTGTTTCCTTGTTGACGTAGAACTTTGAGTACTCGTCGGTCATGATGAACGGCAGAGGCCTTGGTGGATATGGAGATGACATGGTGATACGTCTCTGTGCGTTTGTGTGTGTATCTAAGTGTGTTTATTTGTTCCTATAAGTGTGCACTCCTGTACGTCTCTATGTGTATCTCTGTATGTCTAAGTAGTGTTCTCTGGGGTGTTTGTTTCTATGTTTGTTTCTGTGTGTATGTATGTTAGTCACTACATTTCTGTGTATATGTACGTGTCTGTTTTTTGTGTTTCTGTTTATGCGTGTGTCTAAGTGAGTGTTTCTGTGTATGTCTGTATCTTTCAGTCTGCTGTGCCTCTGTGTCTATGAGTGTCTATCTCTAAGTATCTCTGTGATTTGTTAAGTTGGTCGGTGTCTATATTTATCTGTGTCTCGGTATCTCTAAAAGTGTCAGTCTCTGTGTATGTGTTTTTGTATGTGTCCCTGGGTTCGTGTCTACGTGTTTTTCTCTATCTCTAAGTCTATGTCTCTGTGACTGTGCGTGTCTGTCTCTTGCCACGTAAATCTGCGCAATGAAGGGCAGAGCGTTTTTTACCTTTAAATTCCTTCTATGTGTGTGAGTGGGGTTTAAACAGGATGTGCTGGTTTAGACTTGGTTAAGCGAATCTTCCTTTTTAGAATGAGAAAACATTAACAACACACACACACACATCTATACACACGTAATGATAATTATAACATCATTAGACCTCCTTTGCCAGTACCAAAATATAAGAATAGGGTTTTTCCCCTTTTTCTGGCAACAAAACTGCAACCTTTTTACAAGGAATCATTTGTGGATTAACCACAATACGTGTGGTTACAATGCAAATAAAAAACACTGATAATAAAGGCATTGTCCTTGAAACTGATTAGTCCACACCAGAGACGGATCTCTTTTGAGCTTCGTCTCAATTAGTGCTAGACCAGATGACACCAAAAGGCGTACAGCTCAAAGACAATGCAATATCAAAGTAATGAGGGCTTGGGGTAAGCATCTACATCATTAGACCTCCTTTGCCAGTACAAAAATATAAGAATAGGGTTTTCCCCACATTTTTTCTGGCAACAAAACTGCATTCATCACAATACTTGTGGTCAAAATGCAAACACAAGTATTGTGGTTAATGCATACATGAAAAAAAAGTTTCAGTTTTGTTGCCAGAAAAAAGGGGAAAAACCCTATTCTGATGATTATAACAATGCTCATTGTTTTTTATATAGCGCTCTATATGTCAGGGCAACTCAAAGTATTTTTAATCCTACCACATCTAAAACATTTAACAAGAGAACCCATGGCAGTTGTTCCTGGGGGGTAAAACGTGACAGCACCTTGCCTGCAAACCATCACGAGTCTAATTTAACTCGCAGGTTCTCACAACCGGTATTACGATGCGTATTTTGTGTTTGTATTAACATGGTTTGCTACGTACGGTGCAAAAGAAGTTAAACATATATAGAAACATACATTAATACAAATGGTGTCCGACATCACAACCTCAATCAACTGACAGCCAAACAATACAAGTTGTTACACGTACAAGAAGATGTCGTGCCACAGACTTAAACCGTTTAACACCGAGGCTTTTGTCACCAATATTTTCCACAATGGATACTTTTGGGTTAGATCGCGTGAATATAAATTTGTCGTTAAACCCGCCACCACCCGACACAGCCAATCAGTAAGGGTTTGTCACGTAAACAAAACGTAGCCAATTTGTTACTAGTACAGCACGAACCGGTCGTGTGTTGGAGTGTAAACCTACTACAACATTTAGAATTTGAGTACCTGGTGACGTTTCGCCAGTAATCAAGACAACAGCCAGCATCATCAGGCGACAGCCCATAGTTGTGGAGAAATCCTCCTGTTTCGGTCTTAAATAGACGGGGGTAATAAATGTGACTTAAACAACCGCCGCCAACATCTCACACCATCGGCCAGATTTCAAGAAGGCTTCTGCCAAACTCGCCCCACGAAGACCCCATACTTTATAAGATTGAAAGCATTTTTAAGCAGGTGATAAGGCGGGTCGAGGTTGCCAGAATGATTGGCCTAGAATGTGCAAAAAATATGGCATCTTTCACTGCCGATAAAATATCTCATACAGCACATATTGAATTCTTCGAAATTTTGGAAATATTTAATTGTCTGGGTTGAAGATAAAAAATCAGCATAGCTCGTCAACCGTCTGTGGCACGTTTTATCTAATTACGTGTATTTATTATGAGTAAAAATGTATGTAGACTTCATGATGTTTAGTCAAAATTTTTTTTTCAGAAATGTAGGCTAGGAACGAGACCCCCTCATGTTATCATGATGTATAATTAGAGTGCACTTTGAGTAATTACGAGTTTTCGTAGCATTTCCCAATAATATTTACCTTTATTATAGTAGAAGATTAATGTGCTTTTATAATGTTTTTATACCCGTCTCTTCCCCTCCGACGAGGCTTCGCAGAAAGCTCTGCAAAAATAGCAGACCATTTCCTGGGGTTTGGAGATCGTACCACCATTCTCTCCCTTAAGGACAGTAAAAGGCTGTGGCGCTGGAAGCTATTTTTAATGGAATTAGAGAGGAGAGTGATTTGTGATCACGGGCTAACGAGGCAGATTAAATCTCCTCAACAAGCCGCGACCACAACTCACCTTGCGGTAAGCCTCCTCATGCTGCAATGTTGTATATGGTGGGAGTGGGCCTGTAGTTTTATTTCAGCCAGCTGGAACACCTCCTCTGTCAGCCATGGTCTCCGGGGGGTCTGGACTGTAAACTTAATGTAGCCATTACAGCTACATGAGCCACAGTCCTGAGGCTCACCCATTTTTGCTTGGCATCAGGAAGAGGGGGGGAGGGATTATGGTAACACCACCTGCAAGAGATGATACAATTCTATTCCCACTTGCAACTATCAGGCTATTGTGAATTTGAATGGGGTCCTAGATAGATACCCACAACCGCAGTGGAAGAATGGCAGGTGCATTTTACAAATGACAAACCGATGGTCAGTAGGCAGATCGGCTCCACGGTAGGTCCTGGTGTCAAGGACATGGGCCTACATCTGATTTGTCATTAACGCCCTTTGTCCTGGAGAATGTTTTATATACAGTATAACCCCTCAATCTAGATTTGATATAACCCATCTTAACGACCACCCCTGTTAAGGACTAATCGCTTAAAAACGAACCTCCAATAAGCCCAAAATGTAGTTTATAGTGTAGTTTATAGTAGTGTAATGTGTATGAGTGTATAGTAGTCGAGTTCCTTCATAGAGCCCAATGTGTTCGCTTACCGACCATTCCCTTGTAAATATTAATTAATGCATTGATTAACCATGTTGTTTTTATGTTATGTGTTCATAATGTTAGTATCTATATGGATTAATATGCATTGTTAAAATATTCCAAAGTACTTTTTTGAGTGAAAAATTGTAACTTTCGATGCTATCGGAACAAATGAAGCCTTTAACGTGTATTTGCCAAAACTCGCTTAACAACCAAATCACTTAACGACCTGTTTCGTGGAACCAATTGCCGTCTTAAGAGGAGTTCTACTGCATATGAAAAAAATGTAAGCATCAAAACAATCTAACAAATCGCTTTTGAGTGAGAACAGCTAAGCAGCATTGGGCAAGGTAACATAGCCCACCCCCCATCATTCACTCAGCCAATGAGAGCAACGGACTCTGTGATTCGATTGCCCACGATATAGTCACGATTGTATTTATAAATAGAAGAAACATCTATTTGTTAAGCCAGTGTGATAACTCACGATGCCAGGATATAATCTCAGGCTCCACCTAAAAAAAACACTCACTGCAGAAATGTAGAATTGAGGGCATCGCTCAGATTACAGAGCTCTTGTACTGAAAATGACCTGGATTCGGAGTCCAACAGCTTCCCCAGTGTTGCCTTGTAGGAGGAGTGCAGCAGAATGTACTTGTGAGGACAGGACATAACACTGGTGTTAACATAATAAATTATGATACGTTTTGTTGTGAAATAATGTTTACCATCTGCATTATTATTCTTCGGCAGTATTACCGATGCCCCCATGAAGCCGTCATATATTGCTCATCCCCATGTATAAAATAGCACCGATTAGATTAGCACTCAATTCTCCAGGAACGCATCTTGAGTGCTACGCGAGGGCTGCCTGTATATACAACAACAATAATAGTCGCCACTTGCCACTAAATGGCAGTGACGTCACCACGGCGCCTGTGCCAGGCCAGGTGCACTTTGAGGCCACTTAAAGCGTCGAAGGCTCGCTGGCAGGAGGTCAAAGGACAACTGTTGTGTATGTACCCCCTTTTTATTTTTTTTTTAATATTATTTTTTTTAAGGCTTATTCTGCCATCATATATAATATTGTTTTTTAATAGACACGGGGCCACGTGGGAACGAACACGCCCCCACACTTCCACAGAGGCCCCCACACTTCCACAGATGCGCGCATACCTCATTTCAAAGGAAAGACGGCATGAAAGAGGGTAATCAAGGTCATAAACTCCCCGAATTTCACACAAGAGGAACAAGGGAGGGGGGAATTGCAGGCGGGGGGTTGCAGAACCAGGAGACACGGAGGAAGAGATAATTATATTCTTAACAAAGAAACAGCATCGACGACAAAAAGCACAGATGGGTCTTTGAACCATGTTAAATACACAAGTTACCAACTCAACCATAAAGATTAAGCAAACAGTATCCATCCTCACTCCAATTGAAAACCAAAAGACAATCTGCACCAGAATCGCGACCCATCATTGTTAATTAAGTACTGACATTATTTACCTTTAAAGAATATCTACACGGCCGGGCCGAAGCATCAAAGAATAATTAGGGCATCTATTTCGCTCCAAAACAAATTCCTAGCCGGGATATCAGATCAAATAATCACAAGAAGTCGAATAATAAGTACGGAATTAAAATAGAAGAGGAATCAAGGGCGGAGAAGGCTCTCAAAATTAACCAAACACAACACCCATGGGAAGCGAGCAACACGACCGCCTTTGTCTTTCCGAGAGGATCTCCACACACAGGCACCAAGCCAGGAAATGACACCCATAAAGGTTGGGTCACGATGAAACATCGTGAACACGGTTTCGGCATAACTGTGCAGATGGAACCAAGCAGCAAATAAGTTGCATTTCAACTTCCAAACCAAACCAACTTAAGCTGTGTGAGACAAAGGATGTGATCCCAGAGCAAGGGAGGTAATAATTAAGCTCGCTTAACGCGTAAGTTTTCGCGACAAATATTATTCAGTAACAAAACATGGATTCGAATGTTTTTTTTATAACTCGACGCGAATCATCGGTCTGGCTAATGGATAACTTTGGTGGCACCGTCACGAGACCCCCACCCCTTTCTTCCAGAACGACACACACAGCTGTGTCTTCAAAGCTAATAAACACACGGACAAACACGCACGCGAAACACACGGACGGACACACACACGGACGCAGATGGTCCACCCCCACAGGAAGGTTTTATGACACAGCCTTTGAACAACTCGGGAAGCCGAGTGG